TTCATTCAAGGCCTGTTTACTGAACTCCTACAGTGTAGTGCTTATTCAAGGTGCTCATGGTTCAGCAAGGAACAGAACAGACCAAGATCCCTCACAGGGCTGACATTCTGGTGGGGGAGACAGGCAAGAGCCAAGAAATGATGCAAATAAGTCAAAAGGGTAGTGATTGCTACAGAGACAAGGCAGAAGAAGGGATAGGAAATGCTGAGGGTGCAATCTCAAATACAGTAACTTGACAGGGAGCCTTCTTAGGGAGCCACGTGGGTATCAGGGGAGAGGGGCCCAGGCAGAAAAAACAGCACATGTAAAGGTCCTGGGGTATGAACACTGAGGTGGCTGGGGCAGGGGCACATAGAAACCGGTGGCTTTGCCTACAAGATTGGTGAGAGGCCATGGGGGGGTGTCTTGAGCAGAGGATGGGTGAGATGTGGCCCCAAATTCTCACATCCAGGTCTACCCTTGTTCTGGGGTCAAATATCCGGAGCTGTCACTCTCCTGGCTGGGAACAGGACCAGGGCTGCAGCTGGGCCAAGGGCCTGAGCGGCTACAGGTTGATCCCAACTGTCAGTGAAGACTTGTGGAACATTCTGAGAATCTGGGTTGGAGGAAATTGCTAATGTCCAGAAAATGCCAGTAGGGACTGGGCAGGGAGCAAATTCCAGCGCATCCTCTGCTGGTGGCATCTCCATGAGCAGTGCCCGGCCTGGCACCTAGGTTGTTCCTGGCTCTGCTTTTTGCTGGTAGATGGACAGGTGTCTTAGAAAACTCAAAAACATCCCCCCAAAACAAACCAAGAAAACCTACATTTTTTTACCCCCTTGTCCCAACAGATCTCCTAACTGTGTTCTTTCTTGCAAAATACCTTCACTGTCTTTCCTGATTCTAAAACTGCCACACGAATGATCCGCAAAACCTTTCCAGGATGAGAGAAAGGCCTCTTTGTTCCCAGGCCCTTGTGCTCCCTGGAATTTTCTCTCTCAATGACGCACCTAGACGCTATTGTTTTTTCACACGGTTTTGCAATGGGCTTTTTTCCACTCAACAATAGATGGACCCACAGCTTTTATTTCCAGAAATTGGAAAATGAAGCATGTCCTGCTCCCACCTCTTTACCCACCATGGACTGAAATTTAAGCCACATGAACCCAGCTGGGCCAGGGTGCCAGGGGTGGGCAGACCCCAACAAGCCAGGGAGCCGGGGTGAAGAAAGGCCTGGGGTGGGTGGCAGGGGGATGCCAGGTTTCTGTCACCTTGGGCTTTCCCCACTCCCTCACCATTTGGTGGCCACCTGCACCATGTTGATGAGCAGGGAGAGGCTGGGTTTTTAAAGACATCACAGGAAGGGAAACTGAGGCCCAGAGAGGGCCAAGGGACCTAGGCCTGTGGGTGTCTGACCCCTACCCACAATTCTACCCTGCAGAAAGGGTTGTGGAAGGATTGTGACGTGCCAGGTCACCTTGGCCTCCTGAAACAGGTGCTGGCGTTGGCTCCATTTTGCAGATGGGATGGCTGAGGCCCAGAGAAGTGGAGTAACGCACCCAAGGTCACACAGCTGCCAGAGGTCAGTGTCTGTCCTCCAAAGCTCTTGTGGTCAAGCTCCTGTGCTGCCACATTCCAGCCCAGCTCTACCACTTAGGGGCTGCAGGAGGATTCTGACTGTAAATAAGGACTTCCAGAACATTCCAGAACATGCTGGGGTTGGGGGAAATTGCTGCTCTCTGGAGAATGCCAAGGGAGACCGAGTTGTAGGGGGTGGTGGTGAATTCCAGGTGCTCTCTGAGCCTCAGTTTCCCCATCTTCA